AGCACTATTTCTTCTCCTATTAAAATTGTATATTTCATAGCTAAGAAATACTTATGAAAGATATCATAATTTGATAAGGATATGTTCCGTACCAAAGTTATAGAATTTAGATTTTAGTTTTGCTATTCTTTATGAATTACTTGACTCTGTTTAATAAAGAGTTTTTTTTAATCTTATAATTCTCATTAGACATTAGATGAGCATGAGATTCAGTGGATTAAGAAAGGGTTTGGAAGAAAAGAAGATATTTGAATTTAATATAGTTGATCTGCCTGAAGAATCTGAGAAAACCTGAGTGTGTCCCTTTATACCAGTTAATAAGCCCTTTGATTCATCACCATAAAATATTTCAGAAAATATTTACGGTAAATTTCAAGAGCACTTATCTTTAAGATCTAAAAATATAACCAATAAGTTATTTTAGGAACAATGACTTTCCATACTCTATGGATTAGATTAAATACTTACCATCTCTCAAGAGATAGATCATGAAATGCAGAATTTCAAATTGTAGGATACTTCAGAAATTACTGAAACATCTTCATTTTATAGTGTGAAACTCTGGCCCAATTAGTGTAAATGATTTATTCAAGTCCTCAGAGCTATTTAACGAAATCCAGAACAAAAGCTAGCTCTTCTGATCACAAAAAGGCAAAAGTTCATCTAACATTTTTGGGTTTTGATAATTACCTGGTATTTCTTCTACAATATCTACCCAACACGAGAACTTTGAAGGAAGGATGTCTGCTAGTCAACTTAACACAGAATTTCTGCTGTGAATCCAGGGGGAGTATCTTAGCATACTTTATGCATACACATGCATATTCTTAACAATTCAGAATAAAAGAACTAGGAAAGTATTGTTCTCGAAATAATATTAAACTTCCAATGGATATTAATTCTCCAGATTTTCTAATGTTTACTTTATTTTTTATTCTACTATGTGACTGGAAAAAATACTTTTTATTTGGAATTGCAGACAGTACATTTCTTAGTCTGTTTTGGGTCGATATACCACAGACTTGGTGGCTTATAATTAACAGAAATTTATTTCTCACAGTTCTGGGGGCTGAGAAGTCCAAGATCATGGCACCAGCATGGTTGTGTTCTGGTAAGGGACCTCTCCCTGGTTCTTAGTGGATGCCCTATCACTGTGTCCTTATATGGTGGAAGGGACTAGGGATTTCTGTGCTGTGGTCTCTTTTATAAGTACAGTAATCCCATTAATGGAGGCTCCAGTCCCATAACCCAAGCACCTCCCAAAGGCCCTACTTCCTAATACCATTGTCCTTGGGGATTAGGATTCAACGTATGAATTTGAACGGGGACACAAACATTCGGACCATAGCAGTTGATTTACATATCAGAGGCTTTCAATAGTCTAGATTGAATGGCTATATTGCACTGAGTCAGATCTTTCAATATCCATTATTATACTTGCTCTTGGTGTAAAATTAATCATGCTTATTCTGGGATGTGTATATATAAATTTCAGGAATCAGAAGTGGTGAAAATGATTGATTGATTGTCCAGACTGGTACATTTTCTTGGAGGAACTTACCAACCGTTGCATTTTCATTGTTCCAATAGAATCAGATATTCTACTGGACTGAAGAGTTTATTTGCTCCTGTCATTGTAGGCAAGGCACTTACGCTTTTAAAAAAAAAATTCAGTTCTTTCCTTTTAATTATCTTATAGGTAGTTTTGGTATTCATTTAATTTTCTAAAACTGTCGTAATTCATCTAAATCCCCCTAACTGATAATATGATATTGCTTACTTTCTAAACTCCTATATTAAATCAAGACTCTTTATTCATTTAGGAACCAGTTACTGGATGATTCGAACATCAATCATAGAAGAGAATGTTATCAATTTGTTAGTATCCCAAATTCCAGCTAAAGATGCTGCCATTCACTTAGCAAACAAGATAACAATTAGCTATATAGAAGACTCATTTTAATTAAAGTTGACTAAAATGGAATTATTCATGTGTGGTTATTTTCTTGAACACAAGTTTCTGAGGACATACCATTCACCGTTAGCTCATATTTATAAAGGCATTATTGATCTTTAATATCTGTAAATTTATTCTGTGGCTCTCAGTCAAAGAAAAACTATGCCTGCTCTACCTGTGATCACTGCTTTGTATATCTTTAGGAGGTTCTTGCATCAGGGAAATTAAAGAGGATAATGAACAGAAATAGGCTAATATTTAGAAGACTGTAGATAGAAAATAGCAGAGTTATTTCCAGCTGTCTTAAGCAAAATATCATGAACATAAAATTATTTATCTCAACTTCTCATCAATCATTCTGGGGTTATAATTCTTTGGTCAACTATAAATAAGTTTAAACATATAAGCACAACATAAGATGGTATGAAATCCAAATATAATACCATGACAAGCATGGATTTTCTGAGGAAAGTAAATAAACTAAGATCATTAGTAAGTTTTAGGCTAATAGTTTATCTAATTTTAATGCTTTATATGCAAATTATACCTTGAAAGTTAATTTTAAATATTTAATGGATAGAAATATGGAAAAGTAGTAGAATTATTCTGTATTATTCCAAAGGCAGATATTGAAATAAGCATCTGAATGAAGATCAGATTTTGATTCAAGAGAAGTACATTTATTTTATTAAAGCTGCTAACAATTTTATGAAAAAGTAGTGAAGCCCTGAGATTGGAGCATAGATCATAGGGGATCATACGCATAACCCAAGAAATTGTGTAAAGCCTTCTCCTCAAGTTTACCTGCCCTCCCCCTCTGTACAAGACCTGCCCTAAGACATTGCACACCCCCCCATCCAACACACCACCCTCCAGGAGGTCACTTCTTCCTCCTCTTCAGAATCCTCCCTGGGTTGGATCATGTTTTTCCTGCAAGACTTCCTTACCATTCTCAGAGGTCTGAAGTGAGGTGTAACTTGTGAAGGTTACTACAGATGGGGCTGATTGGCAATTTTAGGAGGCTTGGAAAATTTTGTGTCTTAGAATTTTATATTCAGGATTTGGGCTTTTGCAAATCCTTTTATAATGAGTGTAGTAGACAGAAAGGGCTCCCTAAAAATCTCCTTCCCAATTCCTGGAACCTGTGAATATATGTGTTGCCTGGTGAAAGGAATTTTGCTCACATGATCAAATTAAGGATTTTGAGATGGGGAGATTATTCTGGGTTATCCAGGTGGCCCATTGTTGTCACAAGTGTCCTTACAATGGGAAGAGGAAAGCAGAAAGTCAGAGGAAGAGTGACTTTGGAAGAAACCCACAGAGAGATGCAAAGTAGCAGGCTTTGAAGGTGGAGGAAGGAGGCCAAGGTAAACTGGCAATCTCTAGAAACTGGAAAAGGCAAGGAAGTGGATTCTCCCCCAGAACCTGTAGAAGGAACCAGCCCTGTTGACACCTTGAATTCAAGCTCAGTAAGACCCACTTGGGCTTCTAACCTACAGGACTATAAGATAAAAACTTTATATTGTTTTAAGCCACTAAAAAAGAAGAAAGAGAGAAATTGTTTAAATGAGTTTGGCAGATAATTATAAGTCATGCACATATTTCAAAAGCATAATGTAGAAGATCTGAATAGGCTATAATCCAAGAAGAAAAGACAGAGTAAATTAGACACAACAAAAAGGCCACAGTCTAAGGAATGCAAATAAGCTTTTAGGCAGTGTTAATTAATAGAAGTACAATAAAAGTAATTGTTACACTGAGTTAGGCTTAGATATAGCAACATGTTAAAAGAGGCACATTGGCAATCTAGAATGTCCACAATTAGAATGATTAGGGTGATAAGGAACTAGAAATAATGTCTTACAAGAAGTCATTGTATTAAATGAAAAAGATTACCTTGGAAAAGAGAACATTATGAAATAGTTATCAGCTGACTTGAAATTTTTGTTAGTTTATCACTTAAATGGTAAATATTGTAAATGGAAAAACAAAAACTAAGATCAAAGGATGAGGACTGCAGGGAAATAAAATTTGGCTCATTAAAGGAAAAATTATGTAATATTTCCAACAGTGGAATATGATCCTTTTGAAATAGTATTTCAACATCATTAGAAATGTTCACCGAGGTTTACAGGCTTCAGCCAATGTTGGGGGGGTGGATTTTGTCTGAACAGATTATATCATATATAATCTCTAAGGTCAAATCAGTTACTCTAAGTCAATCTTAATTGTAAACACAGTGTTCTTCTGTCACTCATTCACTATAAGAATCAAGGACATAATAACCTTTATTTGCTGTAAAGTGGAAAATTGAGTTTTCATGACAAATGTAATGTATATACCTTCTATATGTCAATTTAACATCCTAATGTAAAACTTGAAATAGCTAACACATTTTGGAATGCAAAATGATCAAACATTTAAATAGAAAATTATACAAAATCTTAAAAAAACATTTATAAGACAAGAGAGGAGAAATCTTTTATTACTATGACTGAACCCAAGTCATTGATAGAAAATATAAACAAGTTTACTACATAATATAAAAGAAAAACTACATGAAAAATAATACCATAAGCAAAAACAAAAGAAGATACAACACTGGGAAAAATACATTAACAAAAGGCCAGTATCATTAATATATAAAAATCTCCTAAGATTTGAGATGGAAAAATAATAACACAATAGAAAAAAACGGACAAAAGAAATGAATCAACAATTCAGAGGAAATGCAAACTGCTCTGCAATTATTAAAAGGTGCTCAATATTGCCCATTAATAGATGCAAATTAAGACGATATAGTTAGAAGGGAACTTTTTAGGCAGCTAAAAATGTTCTATCATTTTGGGGTTACTTGCGTTGGTTTATGCATTTTCAAATATACACCTGAGACTTGTGCATTTTACTTTGTGTAATTAATCTTCAGTTAAAAAAAAAACAAAATAAAATAAAACAAAAAGTAAAGACATTTGGTGGAAAATTTTTATAGTCTGAGAAAACACAAAGTATTGACTAGCCAAATCAGAATTACACGAATCATAAATATTAACCAATACCAAACTTTATTAATATTTCAAAATATACAGGTCATCTTGTGATTTGTAAAGCATTCTTGTCTAGTGAAAGAAGTCCAGGATTGTTAACAAAGCACCCTAAAGATTCTCTCTGTTCTGCTTGGGATGCATTCTGGATCAGATTTAGCATGCAATGGTTAAGCAATACATGAGGAATATTGCCTTCTCAGAGAGAGATGTTTTAGTTCTGGACCATCTCCCTGTCATTATCCTATTAAATACTCAGCTCACATGAAAGCCTCTAGCCAACATGCCCCACAAGTCAATAAATTTCAGGTTTATTTATTCTATGCAACCTAGATAGACTGGGTGAATCCTGCCAAAGACATTTCATAGATAAATATTCCCTATTATTTTTCTGTTGGTAATTATCATTTATGTGCTCTCCAAGATGTTTGTTTGCTGGCAAGTTTACAAGGGAAATTGGACCAGAGTCATTCCATTTGCCCGGGTATCCTGGAAGAGAGAAGGCATGGGTTACAGGCATGCTTACTAGTTCATCTTTTCTTACTAGTTCATCTTCCGACCTCAGACAATATCTATTCGCAACAGACTTCTTTGGTATCTTTTAATAATTTAAAACATTTCTGCAATATTTGCCCTTGAAGGACATCTGCATCATTCTCAGTCCTTAGTAATTATGAAGAGAGCTGCTATAAATATCTGTGTACAGGAGTTTGTATAAACAAAAGTTTTCATTTATATAGGATAAATACTCAGAAGTAGGATTGCTTGGTCATGTGGTACATACACCTTAACTTTATAGGAAAGTTCCAGTCTGTTTTCCTGCATTCCTACCAGCAATGTAAGAGCTCGGTTGCTCAGTATGTTTGTCAGCACTTTATATTGTCAGTATTTTCATTTTAGCTATTCTGGTCGTTGTATAGTGGTATCACTTCTTGGTTTTAATTTGTATTTACTTAAGGGCTGATTATCTTGAACATGGTTTCATATGCTTATGTGCCAGCTGTATATCTTCTTTGATGAAGTGTTGACTCAGGTCAGATAAGTTCTTTTCTGTTGACACTGGGTACACTTTCATCCTATGTTAGTGGTTTTATTGTGTGTAATGGGAATATGTCATCGTTCAGTACATCTATGCATGACCAGGAAAGTCACAGACCCACTCATTTCACAAACCCAGGTGGCTATTTCTAGGAACGTGATTAAAGAATGTACTTTAGCATTCCAATCCTCTTTTGAGCTAGCAACTGGATCTTTTAGTGGGCATATGTACAACCCACTTCAGTTACTTCTCTAACGTCCCATAGACACTATCTGAGGAGTCCATAGAGGGGTGTTTTCTAGTCTCCAATTATGTAGGGCCCATTTGCCTTACTCTGCTACAAGGCTACTGGCTAAGGCCCAAGAGTCAAAAAATATCCCAAAATTCCCAAGCGGGTGTTACTAAGCCCTCCTCCACTACTATATAAACATTGCTCAGCTCTGCCCATTGTGCAGATTTTCTTTTACCTTGTTCCATATCATACCATATGTACCATATCAAGGTACCATAGTATCAAAGTACCTTGGTATAGTACATATGATATGATGGTACCTGTTGCCATATCATACCATTTCTAAACAACATCACACTCAATCCAGGAACTCTCAGCAGTGAATTCAGCAGTGTGTTTTATCTTGGAGGGGGAAGATCCAGAGGGTTTAGACCTTTAACAAAGAAGCAGGGGATTCGTGGAGTGTTCCATTTTTGGCACCATGGGGAACGAATCAATGTGCTACTGTGTACAGCTCACTCTAAACTTCCCTCTGCTGCATGCTCTCAAACACACTGTTTCTACTTCGTCAATGATCTCTGTTGAGTTTCTTATTCTATTCAAAAATTTCTCTGCATTACTCAAGATGTGATAGCTATTCCTGGTCTTAAGATTATTTGATGTCTTTCCATTACGAAACCCTTTTGACCAAAATTCACTGACAAGTAGCAGTTGTCTTTTGAGTAATCTGTAATGTAGCATATACATCCCAAACTCCAGAAGTCTCCTCCAAGTAGCGGCATTCTAATGTTGCTAGTGACTCAATTCTACAGGCTATCTAAAATATCTGACTGGCTGGAATGTAGCCTCAGCCATAGACCCTTGTAAGTGTCTTAATGCTAATTTTTGCTTAATGCACCATTAAAAATTAAATTCTGATGAATTGGTACTAGAGGCCATCCTTTCTCTTAAGCAGGGAATGTGATTTCATCAAAATTAATGAGTCCCACAAGTTTCTGGGCATCCTCTTTAGTAATAAAATAAATGAGAAATTAGTTTATTTTCCCAGTTTGAGGGATATTCCTGGTTTCGCTGGCCTGCTTAATTCCAAAATTTTTACATTAAGCCAGGTCTGGCTAGGTTTATTAGTCAACCTGTTTTCATCATGTAGGTGACTCAACTCTACTCCATTTCTTTCTTTGAGAAGACAGTTACGTTGATATTGTCAATAGATGCACTAACTTACCTTTAATTGCTATCAAGTCCAAATTCTGCCAACTAGATTATGTCAGGATGCAGTGAACTTAAAAAGCCCTATGGCAAAGCCACAAATGTACATTGAATGACTCCACAAATGTCAATCCACGAAATTGCAAATTATGCTTATCTGAGTTCCAAGGTGGAAATCAAAAAGAAGACATAAGCCAAGGCTTTTATGGCCTGAGTTAGTGTCCTGAGATATTATTGAACAAAAAACAGTGATAAATCTTACAATTAAAAAAAATACTACATTTGAGATAATTTAAATGAAAAATCGAAGTTCCGAACATTTTGATGAAAAATCAAGGTTGAAAATTCATTTTCAAAAGCTAAACTGTATGAGTTAATTTAGATGATAAAATCACATTTCTTAGCTATTTTGATATAAAATCTGTTATCAAATTATAGTTTCAGAAACTATTTTGAGATAATTTTAATGAAAAACCTAATTCTTAAAATTTCTGATGAAACATAATGTATTAAAAAAGCCATGGCTAGGGGCCGGCCCAGTGGTGTAGTAATTAAGTTTGACACACTCCACTTTGGTAGCCTGGGTTTGTGGGTTCAAATGCCGGGTGCAGACCTGCACCACTCATCAAGCCATGCTTTGGTGGTGACCCATATACGTAATAGAGGAAGATTGGCACAGATGTTAGCTCAGGGACAATCTTCCTCAAGCAAAAAGAGGAAGATTGGCAACAGATATTAGTTCAGGGCCAACCTTCCTCATACACACATAAAAAAGCAGTGGTTAATTGTATGATTTTTAAACCATTCAGTTGACTTCTGGAAATATTGATTCTGCATGAGCTTTTGCTCTAGGTAAGGTCACAGCTGATCAACAGCATTTGAGACAATTTATCATTAACTGTTGCTGGAAGTATTTCCTTCACTTCAGCTCTCTTGGTTTTTCTCCTCCTGCAGCCACTCTAGTCCAAGCTTGTAAAAATCTCTCTCCTAAGTTATTCTCATAGACTTCAAACTGATCTTCCTCCCCTTGCCTTTACTTCCCATCCCTGAAGTCCATGCACAATACAGCGACCAAATTGAGTTTGCGAAAATATGTCAGATTCTGAGATTTCTTGTCTCAAAACCCTCTAACTTCCCATCTCTAAGAATAAAAGGCAATATCCTTAAAATGATCTATAAGCAAGTATGTCTCCTAAGCTCCCGTTACCTCTTTGACCTCATCTTCTTTTGTTCTCTCTCCTCATTCTGATCAAGCCATAGGGGCCTATTGGCTGGTCTGTAAGCATGCCAGGCAAACTCCTACCTCACTTGGCACTTGCTGTTTTCCTTGAGTGTAATTTTCTTTCTCCAGATATTAGCATGGCTTGTTCACACGCTTCTTTCACGCTCTCGCTCAAATGTCACCTCTTCAATAAAGCCTTCTCTAGGTACACTGTTTTTCTCCTTGGCTTGATTATTCCTATCTTCCTTCCCCACATTGTTTTGTGCCTTTGCATTTACTACTTTAAAAATTTATTTATTTTGCTTGTTCCTGAGTCTTAGTTTTCTATCTAATTTAACATAATAATGTTACATGAGAATAGAATTTTTCTTTACGTGGTCACTGTTTGATTAGCACTGCCTTGACAATGAGTAACTGGTCTATAATAGACATGTTTGTTTGATGACTAAATTATTGTCTTTTTGATACATTATGTTTGTGCTGTAGAAATTTGTGTGGAAGAGTGTTGGCATGGGGAAATTAATACACAGAGAGGGTGAATGACTGACACGTTATTTCTACTCATTTGTAGTATTACCAGCAAAAATCATGGTAATTTTAATGGAAACATGAATATATGGTGCACTATACGTATTACTTTTTAAAGCACTCTTAAATCTGTGATATGATTAAAGTATCGACAAAAATTTTAAAAAGTAGCACTTACCCTTCAGCCAAAGAAAAACTGTATTCCTTGCATTTTGCTAAATTTGTTGTGGTGAGTTGTCTTCCCTCTCTGAAAACCTCAAATGAAGTTAGTTGTTTAATGTTTAAATTCCATTCTACTTTCAGAAGATTTTGTTTCTTTGTTTTTTTGCTTAGTTTATTTGGTATATTTATTAACTTGTTATAAACATAACCAAAAATCAAGGACATATACTTGATGTGATGATAATCATAGAGCTACAAGTGGGGCAACAAATGGAATATTGTTGTAAGTAGATGCATTGATTAGGAATATAAGCAAGGGAAAAAATGCTTGTTGGCGCCTGGAAATTTTGAAGATGTGCCAGGAGCTAAGTTCCCTGATGTCCACATAGTTGTTCTGCAGTGATTAAAGCATTTTTATGCTTCCTTTACATTTTACACAATGTTTTAAGGTAAATTTTTGCTTAAAATTAAGTGATTTTTGTTATATCCAATTGATACTCTCAATGCTAAATGTTAATGAGAGCTTGAATTTTCCCTTTTGCTTAAAATTAAATGGTATAAGCCATTTTTAATAGTAATGCTATGAGCAATACAATTAATGGAATTATACTTGCATTTATTCTTGGACATTAAGGATTATGTTGGCTATAAATTTCTCATTTTAATGCTCTGCTAAAAATCATTCATTATCATTTTGCTCTCCAAAACTAGCACTCACTGAGACAACTCTAACACCGAATTAATTTAACAGTCTCTTGGGTGGTAGGGAAAAAAGTACCATAAAAATAGGGACAGTGTCTATTCTCTAAGCCAATACATGGTACATCGGTTAAAATATAAATTTTGATTAATGAATAAATACCAACTAAATGTTGAGAGATATTAAGATGTTAAAAGATGTTAAGAGAGATACGGGAGATGAATAAATAGTCAAAAACACAAAAAAGGCTAAAAGTAAAATTATTCTTCCAAAATGTGTTTCATAATGCACAAATCATAGGCCGGGTGTGGAACATGATTCAAAGTGTCTTTAATGAGAAATACTGTTTTTATGCGCTTTATGTACCATGTAGAATAGGACAGTAGGAGAGAATCACACAATTTGTCACCCTGGAACTAGTTAAAATGAGTAAAATTATTGCATTCAGTCAGAAAAATTTGCAAGTGTTAATTCCAGTCATAGTTTATGTCCAGGGGATGTTTTTCCCAATCATATCAGAACTGTGACTAAGGCCCAGTGTTGAGAGAAAAAATGTTCAGTAGCCAAAATCAAAGTTTAGAGAGTCTCTACTCAGCGAGCTCAGCCATTTCATAGAGGGCTGCTTTGAAAGGTGCTAGAATCAGTCCAACATCACCATGGAACTCATTCCTCAACCAATACAATGGAACGACTAGAAGAAACGAGGCTGGATTTTGCAGAGAGATTTCAATTTGGCCAAGACTGAGATAGGCGTGGAGACGATGAGTTCCAGCAGGATCTTCTACATCAAGAAACTGTACAGAATAGAGTCCTGCATAGGCCCTTCTGAAGTACTCATAAAAACATCCACAAGTGAAAACGCATTCAGAATCCTGCCCTTTTTGGTTTTTGAAAGCTAGCCAGTGTTAGCCGACAGAGGATTAACAATTTGCCAATCAAGTAAGGGCACCTTCTCCCTTTTCCTTTGCCTCTTCCCACAGTGGTGGATCTAACACCTCAAAGGGAGCTGACTAGAGATGTTTAAAATACCAACCGTGTCTCTCTTCCACTCCACTTCCTGTCTCCTGAGTTCTAATGGTATCTGAGGGGCAAAGAGATCATTGAAAATAGATTCAGTTTGGTCCTAAATAACAGAATAAGATTCTCTAAATAATTCAAGGTGCTAAAACATATGGAGTTTTGACAGGATGGCATTAAACACACTGTCGGGGGAATTTTTTTTAAAAGACAAGCGTTTCATGTGTAACTTTATGAGACTTCTCAGTAAACTGGACAAACTTTTTCCCATAATTTTACCTAAGGTTAACACAAAGCAGGAAGCTGGGTTCTGCATAAAAGAATTTGTGTTTAAAACATTTCTTTTTCTCACAAATGGGTAAGCAGAATACAAAAGGTGAACAAATTGATCGTGCAGATCTGAGAAATTCTGTGAGATTGCTTTTCAATATTTTTGCATTTTTATATATGATAATATATATAATAATAATATAAGCATTTTATAAATGTTTTAGAGGACCATCTTATACATGAGTTTTGTCACACACTTTCAGTGCCTGTGTTTTCATTTTTCTGTATAATTATATTGGTACCAAGTAAAACTTCTTTTATTATTCTAAGCAAATAAGAACAGGGGTTGTTTTAATATTTAAATGAATGCCTCTAGTGAGACCAAATGATGTCACTATGTGCTCAATTTAGAGGATTATCAATAGTTTGGTGCATCTTCACATACATATTTCTTTATGTTCAGACTCACAGAAAGTACTAGATTCATGTCTTTAAGTTGTTTTATATGTTTTTGATTTGTAATTTTTGACAAATATTAGATAAAACTGTGCCCATTATTTTCAACTGACTTTTAAAAAATGTGACAACACTGTGCATGTTATAATTTTTTGTGTAGAGAGGAAAAAAGTGCATTATATATATATATATATATACATAATACAAATGGAGGTGTTTATAATGCAAATAAATCTAAAGACCTCTTTGTAAATTTCCTTAATGTCCCACAGAAGGATATGTACAATTTGTTCATCTTTTGCCCTGTAGTTATCGTTTGGACTCTGGGTGATGATGTGTAAATGTAGGTTCATCAGTGGTGACAAATACACCACTGGGGTGGGGTATGTTGGTAACTGGGGAGGCTATGCATGTGTGTGGAGGCAGGGAGTGTGCTATGGTCTGAATGTTTGTGTCTGTCCAAAATTCACATGTTGAAATTCTAACCCCCAAGGTGATGGTATTTGGAGTTGAGGTCTTCGGGAGGTGATTAGGTCATGAGGGCTCAATCATTAGGGCTCTGCTCATGGAATTAATGCCCTTGTCAAAGAGATCCCAGAGAGCTAGCTAGTCCCATCCACCATGTGAAGTTACAGCGAGAAGATGGCCATCTACCAAGAAGCGGGCTCTCACCAGGCTAAATCTGCCTGTGCCATTATCTTGGACTTTCCAGCCTCCAGACCTTACCATTTTCTTTTTGATCCCTAGTTCTCTGTAATTGTTTTTTCTTACATTTCCAAGCATTCAATCAATTTCTAAAAGTCTTTTCTATAAATCTATACATTAATTCCATTGGTGTCAAAGAACATGTTCTATATGTACATTTTGATCCTTTGACTTGTGATAAGACTTGCTTTATGGCATAGGCTATAATAAATTATGGTAAAAGTCACATGTGTACCTAAACAAGATTTTTTATACTATTGATAAATTCACCGTTCTCTGCATAGCCGTTGTGTCAATTCTGCCCATGTTACTGTGTAAATCTCTTATTTCCTCACTGATTTTTTCTGCCTTTTTTATAACAGTTTTTGAGAACAGTGTCTTAAAATAGCTTCTTATTTTTGAGGATTTTCTAGTTTTGGCAATTTTTCTTTTATATTTTATGAATATGTTATTTGTTGCACATTAATTGTGCATTTAAATTCAGAAAGATGAACTGTTTCCACGTAATGAAAATCCCATCTTTTTTTCAAAGTAATTCTTGCATTCAAGTCTACTCTGATTGATATTGCTTTGACTAAGGTTTTCATATTATATCGTGTTTTTTTTAATTTTTATTTTTTCGGATGTACATCATATTTCGAATTCTGTATACATTACATCATGTTCACCACCCAAACACTAATCATAGTGCATCCCCTCACATGTGACCCTAATCACCCCTTTTGCCCTCCCCCCTCCCCTCTTCCCCAGTGGTAACCACCAGTCCAATCTCCAATGCTATGTGGGGTTTTTTTTGTAGTTTTTATCTTCTACTTATGAGTGAGATCATATGGTATTTGACTTTCTCCCTCTGACTTATTTCACTCAGCATAATACCCTCAAGGTCCATCCATGTTGTCACAAATGGCCGGATTTCATCATTTCTTATGGCTGAGTAGTAGTCCATTGTGTATAAATACCACATCTTCTTTATCCATTCGTCCCTTGATGGGCACCTAGGTTGCTTCCATGTCTTGGCTATTGTATATAATGCCACAATGAACATAAGGGTGCAAGTATCTTTATGCCTTTGTGTTTTCAAGTTCTTTGGAAAATACCCAGCAGTGGAATAGCTGGATCATATGGTAGATCTATCCTTAATTTTCTGAGGATCCTCCAAACTGCTTTCCATAGTGGCTGCACCAGTTTGCAATGCCACCAGCAGTGAACAAGCGTTCCCTACTCTCCAAACCCTCTCCAACATTTGTCGTTTCCTGTCTTGTTAATTATAGCCATTCTGACCGGAATGAGGTGATACCTCATTGTGGTTTGGATTTGCATTTCCCTGATAGCTAGTGATGTTGAGCATCTTTTCATATGCCTGTTGGCCATCCATATATCTTCTTTGGAGAAATCTCTGTTCAGATCTTTTGCCCATTTTCTAATTGGATTGTTGGTTTTTTTGTTGTTGAGCTGTATGAGTTCTTTGTATATTTTGGATATTAACCCCTTATCTGATATATGGTTTGCAAATATCTTCTCCCAATTGTTAGGTTGTCTTTTCGTTTTATTGATGGTTTCCTTTGCTATGCAGAAGCTTTTTAGTTTGATGTAGTCCCATTTGTTCATTTTTTCTTTTGTTTCCCTTTCCTGGTCAGACATAGGGCTTGAAAATATGCTGCTCAGGCCAATGCCATAGAGCATACTGCCTATGTTTTCTTCTAGAAGTCTCATAGTTTCGGGTCTTACATTCAAGTCTTTAATCCATTTTGAGTTGATTTTTGTGCATGGTGTAAGGGAATGATCTACTTTCATTCCTTTGCATGTGGCTGTCCAGTTTCCCCGACACCATTTATTGAAGAGACTCTCTCCATCGTATGCTCTTCGCTCCCTTGTCGAATATTAGCTGTCCGTAAACGTGTGGGTGTACTTCTGGGCTCTCAATCTTGTTCCATTGATCTGTGTGTCTGTTTTTGTGCCAGTACCATGCTGTTTTGGTTACTATGGCTTTGTAGTATAATTTGAAATCAGGGAGTGTGATACCTCCAGCTTTGTTCTTTTCTCTCAAGACTCCTTTTGCTATTTGGGGTCATTTGTTGTTCCATGTAAATTTTAGGATTCTTTGTTCTGCTTCTGTGAATAATGTTGTTGGAACTTTAATAGGGATTGCGTTGAATCTATAGATTGCTTTAGGAAGTATGGACATTTTAACGATGTTAATTCTTCCAATCCAAGAGCACGGAATATCTTTCCATTTCTTTGTGTCTTCTTCGATTTCTTTCAACAATGTTTTATAGTTTTCGGTGTACAGATCTTTCACCTCTTTGGTTAAGTTTATTCCTAGGTATTTTATTCTTTTTGTTGCAATTGTAAATGGGATTGTATTCTTAATTTCTCTTTCTGCTACTTCGTTGTTAGTGTATAGAAACGCAACTGATTTTTGTACGTTGATTTTGTATCCCGCAACTTGACTGTATTCCTTTATTATTTCTAAAAGTTTTTTAGTGGACTCTTTAGGGTTTTCTAGATACAAAATCACGTTATCTGCAAAGTGATAGTTTCACGTCTTCTTTTCCAATGTGGATCCCTTTTATTTCTTTTTCTTGCCTGATTGCTCCCGCTAGGACTTCCAATACTATGTTAAATAAGAGTGGTGACAGTGGGCATCCTTGTCTGGTTCCTGTTCTTAGAGGGATAGCTGTCAGTTTTTCTCCATTGAGAATGATATTTGCTGTGGGTTTGTCATACATGGCCTTTATTATGTTGAGATATTTTCCTTCTATACCCATTTTATTTAGAGTTTCTATCATAAATGGATGCTGTATCTTGTCAAATGCTTTCTCTGCATCTACTGAGATGATCATGTGATTTTTATTCTTCATTTTGTTAATGTGGTGTATCACGTTGATAGATTTGCGGATGTTGAACCATCCCTGCATCCCCGGAATGAAACCCACTTGATCATGATGTATGATCTTTTTAATGTATTGTTGTATTCGATTTGTTAGTATTTTGTTGAGGATTTTTGCATCGATGTTGATCAGTGATATTGGCCTGTAATTTTCTTTTTCTGTGTTTTCCTTGTCCTGTTTTGGTATCAGAATAATGTTTGCTTCGTAAAAGGAGTTAGGAAGCCTCCTCTCCGCTTCGATTTTTTGGAAGAGTTTGAGAAGGATAGCTATTAAGTCTTCTTTGAATGTTTGGTAGAATTCACCAGGGAATCCATCTGGTCCTGGACTTTTATTTTTTGAGAGGTTTTTGATTGCTGTTTCAATCTCCTTACTGGTGATCGGTCTATTCAAATTTTCTACATCTTCTTGGTCCAGTTTTGGAAGGTTGTATGTTTCTAAGAATTTATCAATTTCTTCTACATTATCCAATTTTTTGGCATATAGCTTTTCATAGTATTCTCTTATTATCTTTTGTATTTCTGAGGTGTCCGTTGTAATCTCTCCTCTTTCATTTCTGATTTTATTTATTTGAGCCTTCTCTCTTTTTTTCTTGGTGAGTCTAGCTAAGGGTTTGTCAATTTTGATTATCTTTTCGAAGAACCAGCTCTTGGTTTCATTAATTTTTTTCTATTGTTTTTTAGTCTCTATTTCGTTTATTTCTGCTCTGATTTTTATTATTTCCTTCCTTCTGCTGATTTTGGGCTTTGTTTGTTGTTCTTTTTCCAGTACCTTTAGGTGTGCTTTTAGATTGTCTATTTGGGAATTTTCTTCTTTGTTGAGGTAGGCCTGAATTGGTATTAACTTTCCTCGTAGAACTGTTTTTGCTGTATCCCACAGATTTTGGCACGTCGTGTTTTCATTTTCATTTGTCTCCATGAATTTTTTTGATTTCTTCTTTGATTTCTTCATTGACCCAATCATTGTTCAGTAGCATTTTGTTCAATATCCACATTTTTGTGGCTTTTCTGGTTTTCTTTCTGTAGATGATTTCCAGTTTCATACCTTTGTGGTCCGAAAAGATGCATGGTATTATTTCCATCTTCTTAAATTTATTGAGACTTGTTTTGTGGCCTAATATGTGATCAATCCTGGAGAATGTTCCATGGACATGTGAAAAGATTGTGTATTCTGTGGTTTTTGGATGGAATGTTCTGTATATATCTACTAAGTACATCTGGTCTAATGTGTCCTTTAAGGCAAATGTTTCCTTATTGATCTTCTGTTTGGATGATCTATCCACTGGTGTAAGTGGAGTGATAAAGTCCCCTACTATTATTGTGTTACTATTTCTCCTCTTATGTCTGTTAATAATTGCTTTATATATTTAGGTGCTCCTGTGTCGGGTGTGTAGATATTTACAAGTGTTATATTTTCTTGTTGGATTGTTCCCTTTATCATTATGTAGTGCCCATCTTTGTCTCCTATTACAGTTTTTGATTTAAAGTCTAT